GGTGTTAGTCGACTGGTGTGGGTCGCATCCTGGGACACTGACCTAAGGAGGCCTGGTCACAGACCGGGCCGCGGGGGCGTTGACCCCCGGAACTCTCTCCAGATCTCCAGATAAGGCCTCATTTAAACTATGCTGCTCAGTTCTGGTCACCGTATTACAGAATGGATATAAATGCTCTGGAAAACGTACAGAGGAGGATGACAAAGATGATCCCATGTCTCAAATCTTCCCTATGAGGAGAGACTGAGGGCCCTGAATCTGCACTCTCTCGAAAGGCATAGAATGAGGGGGATACGATAGACGTGTATAAATGGAAAACAGGAACAAATAAAGGGGATGTAAATAGCATGCTGAAAATTTCCAGCCAAGACAGGACTCGCAGCAATGGTTTCAAGTTGGAAAAATTCAGATTCAGGAAGGATATAGGAAAGCACTGGTTTGGTAATAGAGTTGTGGATGAGTGGAACAAACTCCCGAGTACAGTTATTCAGGCTAAAACGTTGTGTAGTTTTAAAAATAGGTTAGATAAATACAGGAGTGGGTGTGGGTGGGTGCGAGTTGGACCTGACTAGCTTGTGCTGCTGGGTCTGGTACCGTGCTCCGTCCTTGAGTGGAGGTGACCAGACTGAGTGGGTCATTGGGCTAATCTGGGGGGTTGGGGGGGGTCATTGGTCTAATCTGGGGGGAGGGGGGACATGGACCAGCTCTGCATGGGTCAGTAGGCCTGTTGCAGTGTTCCTTCTTTCTTATGTTCTTAAATGGAAGCAGGAGTAAATTTAAAAACGAAATAGTAAATGCTTCTACCAATGGAAACGTAAAACTAAAAAACTGTATGATGAGTATATCTGTGGAGAAAATTTCTCCAGGAGGGGGGGGTTATCAGCCCTTTAACCCTGAAACTGTCCAAACGTAGATCTACGTCCACGTGCAGGGGGGCTCCTAACGTTGATCTACGTATTTTTTTACATTCTTTCAAATGGGGAAAATCAAGGTCGGAGCGCTACACACATGAACGTAGATCTACGTTTGGACAGTTTAAGGGTTAAGCCCTTTGAGGGACTTGGCCCTCCAGAGGGGCTGATGGCATTTAGTTTCTTGGTCAACACTTTTAATTAAAAGCATATGACCATGTGCCATGATCATGCTACGTCTTTGCTAGAAAGTGTTGCAACCATAGTGTGGATTAATAAGACAAAATCTATCTCTTACCTTAGTAGGACAATTAAGGAAAATCCTGCACCCACTTTAATACCATGTTAAAGATAGCACAAATTGTTATCTATGCCCAGACAGCAAGAATCAAGCAGTCTGCATTGCTTCATGGTGGAAGTTTGGCAAGCAAGGGAAATATGCTTGATCGACACTTCTTTTGTGTCGGGGGAGACGCCGAGGGCATGCCAGGCCAGTGGAGAGCACCTCGGGCTAGAGTGCTTTAAACCCAGCCAGGGGAAGCGTTAACACCAGGAAAACGAACAAAGAACACTGATCCGCACATTTTTGTGCATACAGGAAAATCCACATTCGTGGTATATTACAGAGAAGTGTGCACAGCTTCCTGTAGTGACATTACTGTGAATTTAAAATGACTGAAAGACAGTGTTGTATACCGAGTGTACCGAGAACTATCTTTATAGACTAGTGCAATGAGACGCCTTTTCTTCAATCAAGTCAACGATATCTGTCGAATGGTGCATACAACACCATAGTTCACACTACAAGAGCAAGGTAAGTTTTGAATTTACTTGTTATGCAGGGGACTGTGCAGGTCTTTTGTCACAAGGCGTTCAAAATCATCCTATAGTCAGCAGTAAGGTGTGGGCTTTTGAGCCCCACACAAATGAGTATTCAAGTCAGTATTCAGTTATTCAACAGAATACTGACAACACCCACTAGGGATAATTAGGCTCATACTTACTTGTTCCCCACAGCCACGTGGTCATAGAACAAATGTCTCATCGGAGGTGTCTATCGTCAGAGGCTGCGATAGGCAGACAGAGAAACAAAGCTTAGTGTCCTCATTATTGATACAGAGTTACTTTATTTGTTCTACAAGTTTATTTAACCATAATCTTGACAAGCCTGACCCAGGGCTGGGCTGTAGAGGTTGGAAATCTCTTTAAAGTCCTTAACCCTTTCACTGTCGAGACCCCTGCTCACAAACTTGCTCTCAGTGTCAAAGAATTTAAAAAAAAAAAATATTTTTTCTTATGAAATAAAGATTATTTTCCCAATGGTAATGACACCAAGAACATGAAATTTGATGGAAAACTTACAGAATTACATTCTCACTAAGTTAGCAGTCTCGGTGATATTTATGAATCGGCGATTTAACCCACTTTGAGCCCTATTTTCAGCCAATTCCTTTGTTTCAGTCAAGCAAACTCATAGCTATTTTGCTAGAACTCCATTTGTTTTATTAACCAAGTACAAGAAACCGCCCATTTACCTATTTCAACTACCCAATAAAGTGATCAGAAATTGGTAATTTGGTCAATTTCATACATGATTTAAGGCCAATTTAACCCTTTCAGGGTCGACAGGCCCTCTCGGACTTGTTCTCAGGATCGGCCAAATTTAAAAAAAAAAAAAAAAAAAAATCTTATGAAAAGATAGAATCTTCTCCCGATTATAATGACACCAAAAGTATGAAATTTGATGGTAAACTTACGGAATTATGTTCTCGTGAAGTTAGCGGTCTCGACAATGTTTACGCAGCGGCGATTTTGCCCACTTTGAGCCCTATTTTCGGCCAATTCGTGTACTTATCGACAAAAATCATAACTATTTTGCTAGAACTCCATTTTTTCTATCGAATGAGTACAAGAAACCACCCATTTACCGATTTCAACTATCCAATACAGTGGTCAGAATTTAGCAATTTTGCCAATTTCACACAAATTTCAAAAGATGCCAATTTCCGAATAGGGTTCAGAATAAACAAGAAAGACATTCCTGGCACTAAAATAACATTTCCTCTGTTCATTAGTCATGTCCCCACGCCCCTCTTACATTCTTTTTCTTTCCACTTTGAATTTTTATTCTCACAAAAAAATAGAAGATTTACAGTTATGCAGGCTACTGTATTAGTGTAGAAATGGTATAAATAATATCGGCGCACTTGTGAAAGAATATTAGACTCACCAGTTGAGGTGTATTGGATGCTTGGCATGATTTGTTTACTTTTGAACTTCGGTAAAAATCGAACATTTCTGCTACTTTGAACGGAATTTCAAGGTAGTTTTCTTTGTAAAACCAGTCAAAATCATCTCAATTTCTGTAATGTGTCCTCCATTCTATAAAATAAAACCAGGAAAACGAGAATACAACAATAAATACCATACGAAAATACAGTGCAAAGTCGCTGTTTTAATCCAAAAACAAAGTTTTTTTTTCTCATTACGCACTGTGTGCTGCAGGATTTTTTTTATACTGTGCACACTGACCACAGACCCATTCTTTCATATGTAGGCCTACCAGCTTTCTCTCACTCGATTTGAGGGCACCAGAATTTAGGCGTACTAGTACGTCAAAAACCCTGGGTCGTAAGCCGTACTAGTACATCAGAAACCCTGAAAGGGTTAAAAAAAACAGGGTCTAGAATTAACAATACAAACATTCCTAGCACTAAAATAACATTTTTCTATTCATTAGTCACGTTTCCAGGCCCCTCTTTATTACGCTTGCTTTTCATTTTGAATTTTTATTCACACAAAAAATATAAGATATATTGTTATGCAGACTACTGCATTATAGTAAAAATTATATAAATAATATCAGCACATTTGTCAAAGCATATCAGACCCACCAGTTGACATGTATTGGACAGGTGACGTCATTCTTTTACTCTTGAACATCAGCAAAAATCAAACATTTCCGCTACTTTGAGCTCAATTTCAAGGTACGTATTTTTAGTCCATAAATCTTTCAAAAATCATCTCTATTTCTGTATTATGTCTTCCATTCTATCAAATAAGACCAAGAAAACGAGAATGCAACCATAAATACCACACGAAAATGCACTGCAAAGTCTGCGTTTTAAACCAAAAACATGGTCAGTTTTTTTTCTCACAATATGCACTGAATGCTGCAGGATTTTTTTTTATACTGCACAGTGACCACCAAGACCCATTCCCTCATATGTAGTCCTACCAGCTTTCTTCTGCAAGATTAGAAGTCGCTAGAATTCTGGCGTAATATTACGGTGCCAACACTGGCTTGCAAGCTGTAATATTACAGCACCAACAGTGAAAGGGTTAAATACAATTACAAAAGGTAAAGGTACACACACACACACAAAACAGTCATGATCAGAGAAATCTCACCAACGTGAGGCTTCTTGCAAAATTTTATATAATAATTTTGAGGAAAATAAGTACACCTACCGACTTACGACCTGCTCGCCTTACGACCACTCAACTTACGACCGTGTTTTTATGCCAAATTTCTGGGAAATAAACAACTATTTGTGTTGTACACAGTGTTTATCCTAAACCTTACAGTATAAAATACAGTACTAACAACATAAAAAGTAAAGTAAAACATGAAATACCAAAATAAAACAATAAAATAGTCATTACAAAAATGTTTTGTTGATATTCAGTAGTAAAGTTCGACTTACGACCGGTTTCTCGGAACCGAACTCGGTCGTAAGTCGGATGGTAGGTGTACTATACTCTAGAAATCTTTATAGTTCCAACTTATGATAGTGCCACTTTTACCATTATGTGTCACTAGGTGGCACATAATGTTAAAGAAAATTAACAGGAAAGGTAACCTGAAATTTTGCAGGGAATGAATTGCTGACAAACACTGAAGGCTATTTGAAAATGGGTCTCATTCCACTGTAAACTAAGTTCGGCAACATTTCTCTGGAATGCATCTCAATCAATAAGCATGCATTTCTATATAGTAACTAAATAAAAATCACATAACAAAAATGCATTACTTATGCATTCAATTAAGGTTCAACTGTCAATTATAACAGGTACATTCTTACTCACCGAGAGCTAAGTTACAGAGTCCAGCAGCTGCAAAGCTACATAAAGTAGATGTGCCTTCAGATAACTGGTCTAAGAAAAGGTCAATAATTTTCAGTTTACGAAACCAATGATAGTTGATGGGATCATATGCAAAGTTTGCTAAGTTCGCTAGAACCTGTTCCTTGGCCTCTGTAATGTGGGGAAAAATAAACTTTAAAAATACTGCACAGTATTGATTTCAAATATTTTTCTCGGGTAAAAAATTTTTAGTAATTAAAATTGTCTAGACATTCATTCAACACTTTATAACTGTTACATTATTACACAAGACTTCATGCTGAACCTTTTCCTGTTTACAACTAAATTCATTTTGTCATAAAAACTTTTCTTCACATTTTACAACTCACCTGCTGCTTCACTTTCATTAACAAAATCTTTGGTTCCAATACAGTGCACCCATTTCTAAAAATTACTTCTCTCCTTTAATAGCTAGTAATGCCTTAATTGCAACTTCAAGGTAGATAAACTACCAACCTGATGCTACAAAATCTTCCTAGAAAGTATGTAGTGTATGAGAAGTTTGAGTGGAAAGTATGAAGTTAGAATCAGGGATTGTGTATGTCAGTGTCTGATTATGACCATGCTCTTTGTCTGCCCAGTATCCAGTGCAAAATATGACGACTTGAGGGTGCATAAATCTGTAGTGGAGTGAAGGAGGGGTAGGGGTCATCCTATAAAATGTTGGAGGGAGGGGGTAAAGGTTTTGTATGCGAGGGGCTTGGACACCCACCAGGCATGCGAGAGCTTGTTAGACGGGCAAGTGGAGGCAAGTGGTTTTTACAACTTGACATGCTGTTGGAGTTTGAGCACAATAACATCTTTGAAGGGATTAAGAGAAACTGGTTAGCTGGACTAGCGTCATGGACTAGTGTCACTCTGAAGGAGGGGTGAGAATGTTGCAGTTTGGAGGGGCATCTGAGATATGATGCTGGCATGCCTATCATAAGATAGTGATGGTAAAGCTTTCTTCTTTATTGGATAACCATACATCAGTGGGAGACAGCAAGTTTTAAAAATTTGCACAGTACTATTGTACATATGTCCAACCTCATACTGTATACAAATATGTACTGTGACAACACAAAATGTTAGGAAAAACCCTAACAGAAATACTGTATGCTACATCATTTTTATGTAGGGAAGAGCATATGACAAATTACAGTACATTTAGTGTTAGCTTCCAAGATACTACCACAGTTTTCTGAAGTGATAAATTCACCAACGAGCTCTTTCAAATACTGGGGTCGGTCTACGCCTTTCTTTCCAGAACGTTTTTCAAGTCGTTCATAACTGCTGAACATGTTGCATCACATGGTTCCTAAAAAATAAAAAATGAAAACAATGTAAGAACTTCAACTAGTGCACCAATTTCTCACTAAGCCCTAAATTTCATGATCATTTCTCAAGATATTATTAGTCATGGGAAAGCACTAAACCCCTAGGATTATACAAAGCCTGGGTAATGGCAGGCAACCAGGTTTGATCCAAAAGAAAGGGAAAGGGGATAGCTTTGATTCCTTGGATAAGAGTACTTTACCTGCACTAGGACACCTCTCATAAAAGGGCTATACGGTCGAACCTCGGTTTTCGTATGCCCTAGTTTTTTCTTACAATTTGGTTTTCAAAGACTTTTTTCTCAAAATTTTGTCCCAGTTTTCATACAGTCGAAAATGGTCTGTACCAAACTCATCCGCCTGCCCGCATGACTCGGCCACTCATTTTCCAGAATCGAGCGCCCATACAAAGCATCCTATGTGTTCGTGACTCAGTCTGCTTCTGTTTCTCGTTGAATGAGCATCACCCTGTGCGTTCATCCAAAACATTTTATAATAATCCATTGTTTTTGTGCTTGTTTATCATGTGTGACTGCTAAATAAGCCACCATGGAGCCAAAGAAAGTTCCAAGTGCCAGCCCTTTGATAAATAAGGTGAGAAACATGATAGAATTCAGGAAAGAACTCGTAGAAAAGTGTGAAAGTGGCGTACATGTGGCCAATCTCGCCAGGATGTACAGGAAGTCCGCATCAACGATCAATTCCATCCTGGCAAAGAAAAAAGAAATCAAGGAAGCTGATGTTGCAATAGGGGTAAATGTGCTTACAAAACAGAGATTGCAAACAATCGAAGATGTTCAGTTGTTGTTGGTGTGGATCAACAAAAAAACAGCGGGAGACAGCATTTTGGAAGCAATAATTTTGGAGGCTTCAAGTTTGGACAAACGTGGGGGTCGAAGAATTCGTTGATGAATTCAAGGAGTGCATAGAGGCAGAAGGATTCCTCCCCCCAACAAGTCTTCAATTGCGACAAAACAGGCCTCTTTTGGAAGAAAATGCCAAAGAGGACCTACATCACGCAGGAGGAAAAGGCACTGCCAAGACACAAGCATATGAAATGTATAGGCTAACACTCTTGTTCTCTGGTAACACTAGTGGGGATTTCAAAGTGAAGCCTTTACTGGTGTATCACTCTAAAAATCCCTGAGTGTTCAAGAAAAAAATATCAAGAGTAAATTGTGCGTAATGTAGAAGGCTAACAATAAGGCATGGGTCACGAGACAATTTTTCAACGAGTTGGTCAATGGAGTGTTTGGCCCGAGTGGAAAATCAATTGCCATTCAAGTGCCTCCTGATAACGGACAATGCTCCTGCTCATCCTCCAAGCTTGGAAGACCAATCGTTGAAGGAGTTTAATTTCATCAAGTCTTCAATAAAAGGTAAAAGTGATGCTAAATATTCATTTATCTATTTCATTAGTCAATTATACTTATTTCTCATTGTTTTTGGTATGTAAAACTATAGTTATTCTCTATAAATGTATTTTTTGTTAATAATTTTGCATCTGGAACAGATTAATTGGATTTACATTATTTCTTATGAGAAATACCGCTTCAGTTTTCATACAATTCGGTTTTCGTCAGACTTTTTCCAACGGATTAATCACAAAAACCGAGGTTCCACTGTACATACATACATAATTACTGTACATTTAACCTATCATTACTCCAATAGTCAATTATCAGCACCTATCTACAAAGATCTTAAGGCTCCTATGACAATCGGTGCCATTTACCGAACGCATCATACAAACATCCCATAAATTAAAGACACTAATCACAGACAACCAACTGAACAAGCATCACCTTCTCCCAGCCGAAGACTTTAACAGGAACCTTGGTCTAACAGACGGCTAGCCAGTAACAGATTTCATCAACAATATGAACAACACACTACCCATACCAACTATAACAAAACCAATCAGGCTAACCGAGACTAGTGCAACCATAATTGACCATAAATGGACTAATGTACTAGCCCCCCTTAAATCAGGGATAATCACAGACAGCACTACTAACCACTACCCCACCTTCGTCTTAACAAGCATTGGTAAACAACCACTAGAATACAACAAGGTCTCTTTTAGACTCCATGATGAGGCTTCAATAAGTAACTTCACAACAGATCTAGGTACGACTGACTGGCCTACAGAATTCTCCGACACTAATGGTATCGATGACTGGACAGACATATTTCTAAAAAAACTACTTAGACTATATAACAAACAATGTCCCATAAAAATGAAACAGATTATGAATAAACAGTATGAAAAACAATATAGACAGGGCTTAATAAACAGTTATTGTCAAACAATACGCACTAGTTCTCACCAACCTAATAAGAAAGGTTGAGCAATTGTACGTACTACCTCAGTAGATTCACTGAAACAAGCAGAGATGTAAAAAAGATCTGGAAGACACTCGTATTCTAGGCACCCACAAACTAAAAAAAACTAGGGATATTGTCCTAACTAAACCGAATGAAGCCCAATAACAGCCTATTGATACAGTTAACAAGAAAAATGACTTTGTTCAACCATAGGATCAAATCTCGCCAGTAAAATCCCAGATTCCAATGCCTGAGCAAGTGATTATTTCGACGGGAATTTCCCAGCATCCTCCTACCTTGCACCAATCGAGTCCACAGAAGTCACTACAACTACTAAATCACTTAAAAAAAAACAAGTCAAGAAATCTGGCTCAAGTTCCTCCATTATTGTACAAATGAGCAGCTTATGTTCTCTCACCTGCTATCTGATTACTCTTTAAGAGATCACTAGAAACCAGCACTTTCCCAGCACTACTCAAGATAGCCAGAGTCACACCAATACACAAAGGTGGTGACCCCACAGATGTAAACAACTACAGATCTATCTCAAACTTACCATTGCTATCCAAAATCTTCGAGAAGCTTCTACACAAGAGATTATATTCCTTTATAACAGTGCAAAACATCCTCAACCTCTGCCAATTTGGCTTCAGAAAAAACAAAAGCACTAATGATGCAATTGTAAAAATGCTCAACCTGCTTTACACTGCACTTGAAAAAATGAATTTCCATTAGGATTCTTTACTGACCTAAGAAAAGCATTTGATACAGTAGACCACAGCATCCTACTCCACAAACTTGAGCATTATGGCACGAGGCCACGCACTTACATATTTCAAATCCTACCTAACAGGCAGCAATACATCTCTATTAAGGACATCCTCATCAACAAGACCACTGGATACTGGAGTACCACAGAGAAGTGTCCTAGGTCCCCTGCCTTTCCTCTTATCCCTTTGACTGTTTCGGTCGTACACATACGTCTTACGCGTCACTGTTTCCGACGTATTTATACACGTAAATTCTAGCGGCTTTAAATCAAGTTGGAGAAAGCTGGTAGGCCTACATGAGAGAATAGGTCTGTGTGCTGGGTGTGCACCCTATGAAAAAATCTGGTACTCAGTGGTGCATTGTGGGAATGCCACCTTGGTAGTCCATTTTCACCATGCCTCGCAGTAAGGAGTACCTCACTCCCCGGCGGATAGGAGGTCTTTTGTTCCCCAAGCGATAGCTCTAACAGTGAAGAAAGTGTCAGTGAAAGTGAATTCCATGGTTTTCAAGCGGGTGTGGCCAAAAACAGTGCCCAGGATAATATAATTAGTGACGAAAACCCAGATGACCCACGACCTTCCACCTCTGGTGCTGGGCCAGCTCGTTCACGTTCACCTATACCAAGACAAAAGAGGAAACTATTTGCCCATGTACAAGACTCGGATGTGAGCAGTGATAGTGATTTCAAAGCTACTGAAAGCAGTTCTACTTGCAACAGTGAGGGTGAATATTCCCCAGTGAAGAGGCAGTATGTACGATGTAGCATGCGGTCTGGTAGTGTGTTATATGCTGTTCCAAGGGGGAAGGAGTAAATCTCGAAGCACATCCCGTGGCCCTACACCACGACCTCAACAGAACACATGACCATAACACAAGGCACAGATCACTCTTTGATGTTCCTCGTGTCCATCTCACACTATGCAAAAACTCAATGCACAAAAAAGGCCCTAAAATCTGGAATTCATTACCTGTAAATATAAAAGAAACACTGTCTGTTTATAAATTCAAGTCTTCTCAAAAATCACTCACCCACAACCAAGTAAATACTGAATAATTGTATCTCAAAAATTGTATCTCATAAATGTTTCTCATAATTGTATCTCATAAATGTTTAACATGATACCCAATCAAACTTTGTTATTTTTTAATTACATTACCCAACAGAATACTCCATTCTACTGAATGCATAGCAATACAGTAAATGACCATATGACCTGTCTTTGTGATACTCATTTGTGCTTAATTGTTATCCGTTTACAATAATGTTTTACCACTGAATATATCACTGCTTAGTTAATCTTAAGTTAATTTTAAGCCTGCCCATAATGCACTGCATACAAGGGGCTTTGGCATGTTGCACTTAACTGTATTCATTTGTACTACTCTGTATCATGTTCAAATAAAAATAAATAAATAAATAAATAAATAAATAAATAAATGGGTATGAATGATGTGAGTGAGGCAGCAGGTGGTGGTGATAGTGATGGTGCCACGAGTCATGTGGCACCAGCAGCGGGCCACGCTACTACCGACGCTGCTGACTCTGCACAACTACAACCAGCCTCACCCAACCCCACACTCCCACAACCTGCACAACCACAACCACGTTTCAATATCCAGAACCCACCAGCAGACCGCATCTGGGATTGGCAGGAAGGTGACGAGTTTGTTCCCAGTCCCCATGACTTTGATGAAACACAAAGTGGAATACGGCTATCGTGTACACTTGGGAACAATGCTACTGAACTGGAATGTTTTCAGTTATTCTTCGATGAACCCCTGATGGACATCATTGTCAGGGAAACCAACACATACTATGAGTACACCATGGCAAATACAATTCTCTCACCAAGATCATGGATACACCAGTGGAAGGACAACTGTGGCAGAGATGTACCTGTTTT